GACCAGCATGCTAAATTTACATAAGAAAGAAAAACATTCTAACAGTGCCGACAGATTTCCTGAACTATAAATTCCTTGGGAAAATTTCTTCGACTAAGTGATCTATTTAGAGGAATTGGCAATTTGTTTTCTATATCAGAACAAAACACTGTGTAAAGTTTAGCTTAGGTTGTCATATACCCAATAAATGTTAAGAATCACATTTACGCCTACTTTACGGTTTATGTCAAAATCATCTTAACAGTATAAGGACTACTGTATATGGGCAACCACCTATCCCTTAGCTAAGTCGTTGTTTGTCGATTTTAAATTTCTTAATTTTGATTAGTCAAGGTTGTCCGTAAATATATTTGGAATTATCTATGAATAGGAATCTGACATACTTAGTGTCATTAATAACTTATAGGGTGATAGATTGGAATGGAAAGATACATGCATAAGACCATCGCATATATGACTATTCATATACTGGTTAAAATGGCGGTTTCCTTCTGCTTCCCCTAATGGAGGAAGCGAATTGTGTCGTTGTAAGAGATAGTGGAAGAATTTCAAATCTTAATTACTGTTAATGTGTCTTTCTGGTAAATGAATGTTAAAATTGTCTTACGTTTTATTTTAAAAGTTGATGGCCCCTTTAACTCCAAAATATGTATAGCATCTGTTACCATATCTATTTGAGAAGATTCCAAGATTAATCATGTTTGTTGTACATTTGCATACTGAAGCGTAAACCGGTTAAAGGAGACTGTTTTAGCTCCATGGACTTGTTTTAGTTGTGATTCATCTACCAATCTTCCACGTGTGATGGGGTTATACCAAGCAAATATCGTATTACAAAATAATGTTTAAAAAAGTTTAGATAAAAAGTAGGAATATGTTATATAATGAATGATGACTTCAACATCTGGTTGTAGCTTTAAGGCAAGAAAAAAGATTGTTCCTTTCACCTGTCCATATGAATAAAAAGTAATGATGGCATAAGACTTGTTGTGGCTAATCATTAAACAACTTCTATGACATGTTAACTTAGGGTATTCTTATTTGTATGTTCTAATAGCACCAATTCCGTGGTGTTCCCGCGTTATTTATTTTGTTTCTCACAGAAATGTTGAATTTCGGGGAATATAAAGTGCACCCAATATGGTTTGATCCACTGCGAGGTATTATGTTTTAGAAGAATAAAACATTTTAATGTATCAACTTCAAACTCCGTTGACCATATTATGACCAAATTTTCATTGTATTAAAGCGAGAATTTCATATTTTCTAATGTCTTTTGCTCAATAGGTTGTCAACTCACTATTATACGATCATAGGTATCATTCTCACACTTAGAAATCATTGACCCCGGAAATAATAACACAATTACCTCCCTTGTTTTTCTAAACCCCCCCCCCATGTAATAACTATCTTCAAACGTTTGAATTTGAAGTTGAAAATGATAGTTTTGCCAATTTCTCAACTGGCAATAGTGAATTACAGGATTAATAGGATTATTCTTTAACAAGGTCTAGGACTGTTTATAGATACCATCTATTTTAAGGCTTTATTTTAATACATTTTAAAAATATAACTTAAAAATATGAAATTAACGCTTTAAACAGAAGTCCTTATAGTCATCTGTGAAACGAGGAATCTTTTAAAACGGTTTAATTTGGTAACAAGTTGCTGGAAATTTAAGAATTTGTTACGCGTCGTTGTAAAAAGCTCTAAAGTTATTGGCACTTTAACGCTTGAAATATGACCGTTTATAAATTGTTATAACTATAGCTGACCGACTTCCACGATGATTTATTAAACCTGATTTTGGCTTGGGAATATACAGCACGTCAATGAAAAATAGATCAGAAAAACCATAGCCTATTCCCATAGTAAGTATAACTGGTGCGTCGTAGATCTATTTTAAGCCACGGTGGATCTAAAATAGTATCCTATCCATCTTATAAATACCTTATTAAAACATGGAGGTGGTGAAAAGTGGACCTAGATGTTATTTTAACCAGTTTTAGATAAGACTAAAAGAGGCATTATCACATTTGCGATAGTCGTCTAGCAGTAAAATATATAGCCTCAATAATTCGTAGAGTGATTCGTTAATTAATTTTAACTATTAAAACAGAGCATACTTATACTGCGACTATACGTAGTCAGGTAAATGAATGCTGTAATTTATATTTGCACATGGAGGGTTTGTGTCTCAGCTAAATCGTTACGCGAGAGCTTGTTCCTATTATTCTGATTTTTTAAGTAGATCGAGTCATTTGTCATCTAAGCTTCAACTACAAGGATACTCGCGCACTAAACTTATTAAAACCTTTAAAAAGTTTTATGGCCGTCATATTGATTTGATTGGTAAATATAACGTGTCTCTCTCGGCTATTATTCTAGATATATTTAATTGACACGTATACTATTACTATCTCCCTGATAATGTCTACTACATCGTTAACACGGTTCATCGCGTGCATTTTGCATATCGATAATTCATTGGCCAATCTCGCTATCTTACCGACATTTCGCCTAATAGTTTGGATGCAGCTATGGCGGGTGTGGCGCCAGGCAGGGTAAGCTTACTCTGCCGGACACCTGTTACCACTGTTTGTCGTGTATTTTGTACACGAGGAGCAGTCCATTTGCTGATTACACTATTTTGCTTGAATACACTACTTCGAATTCTATCTTATGGTTTGGATTGTTCGTACTTGGTTTTATTTTATGACAAAAGCTACTCTATTTGTATTGGATTACGGGTACTGTCATATGCGTTAGTTATATCGGGCTACTGGACGTGGGAATTAACAGCGCAGTTAGATCGGATACTTTGCAATTAGATTTGTGGCCTTGGGCTTTGGGTTATTAGGCAAATAGTTCTAAATTGTGGAGAGCTGTCTTGGGAGACTGGTCCTTGAGTGATTTATTCCCGGCTGATTGCAGTATATTTCATTGTATTGAAATTCCACTATATACATGTCTCTTAGAATCCAAATAGCTTTTGAGATTTATGCTACCTTCAATGAAAAGACTTAATTCCCTCCATATTAAAAGTTGTGAAAATGCTAATCACTTTCAGAGAAATACGTCGATTTAAATATCGTTTTGACTATGATGATTTGCATGATGACAATTTGGAATAGATATAAAACAAACCTCGCTACCAATAGAGATAAACAGATCTATCGGATGATTCGCACCTGTAGTTTACACCTTTTAACTGATGTTGTGTTTGAAAGCGACCTCCTTGTTATGACTCAATCAGTGCAGCATCTGCAAAATGACTTATGTATAATAATATAGTTTAGTTTTCTAGGTTTTCTTTTTTGTTTGTTCCACAAGTACAAACCATTTGGCTTTGCCTGGAAATTACTTTGTTTATCTTCAGATAGGTGTGTTGTAAACATCTCTGATTCAATTTCCTCCTCGCTTTCACAAGTGCATCATCACAAGTGCATGGGATGTGTTGTTTATAGCCGATTTAAAACAAGAAAATCTAACAACAAAAAACTGCTATTGAGCTCACTTTTCTATCTGTTCTAAATTAATTTTAGAATATAATGTTGTTCGTGTTACTTATAATGGCTATGTTATAAAGAACATGGGGTGTGTTGTTTATAGCCGATTTAAAATAAGAAAATCTAACAAACAAAAAACTGCTATTGAGCTCACTTTTCTATCTGTTCTAAATTAATTTTAGAATATAATGTTGTTCGTGTTACTTATAATGGCTATGCTATAAAGAACGTTTATTCGATATAAGTTTATACATTTCAGCTCACTTTGTTTTAAAACAAGAAGAATCGTATGGCATATTGCAAGTACAAATTAAATGTATTCATTTTTACAGAAGTATTTAGGACATGTATTATATGGAATTCAACCGTCTGATCTCAATTATATAATAATAATAATTCATTTATTCGTACGTAAATAAGATCACTTACAAAGATTTCTAAGAAGAATATAATTATTATAAATATATGTACAGTGAATAGTAATCACAAAATCATTATTCGGTACACAGAAAGTTTATAATTTCATTAAGTTTATGTACATCTTGGTTTAAGATGAAATTTAAGATTGGGATACATATACGATTATAAAGATGATATGATTATCATGGCTCTGATAACATCTTACAGTTGACGAAGTACATCTTTTCACTCAGAAACTTTCAGTATAAGCACACCAACTGACAAAAGAATCTCTCAGCGGGACATAAAGTACGTAGAAATCTGACCATTCTTCATAAGTTTGATTGGTAGCTTGGTAAACATATATCGATTACCTGGGTATTCCAGCAAATAATTGTCGTAACATAACCTTCGTTTCGTCTCAGTATACCTATTGCCTTGATCAAACGCCAAACATTAAAAAGCACCCCAAAGACCCTAAATCATGTTGAACAGACGATACTTGGTACTTCTGTCCTAACCGAAATACAAATAATATTATTACGACTGTGAACGTGTATAATGAATAAGTATACCCATACACCAAGTGTAGACCGAATATAATTTATTGTCGTTTTGATATCTAGACTGATAATAATATGTACGTTTATAATGCGCTCAGTAACATGCTAGTATGCATTGTTTAGGTGCCATAATTAATGTTTCTAGACTGGGTGCTAGTTTAATGTGACGGGGTAGCGCATTCTGTAGAACAGGCCCTATATGTAAAGAAACGATTTGTGTTCAAGACATTTGATTTTGAATATTTAATAAGATGTTTAAAGAATATGCCCAGAAGAATATATAAAAACAAAGGTGGAGTACAAACGCTTAAAGTCTATTCTTGATTTAATGGATAACAAATGGATAGCATTGAGCGCTCTTTTAATCTGGGAGTTCCTCAGTATTTGATGAATCTGATGATTCGAGCTGCCATATTACTTTTTCGGCTTACGTTGGTGGAGATCGTCTGTCCCATAAGGATATAATATGTTACTTGCGTCATTAGCCTTACATTGTCTTATGGATTTTATGTATCTTATTTATTTACAGAGATGATGGACCCACTGATGGACAGCTTGTTGGAGAATCAATGGAAGTTGGTGACTACAGCTACTCGAGGAGATGGTATATATTGAATTTATATATGTCTTTATACTTGTCTGCATTGTATTAATAACTAGATATTTTAGTTTAATTACACAATTCAAGATGCAACTATCAGTATCACCAAGACTAGTCTTTTCTGTTCAACATCTGCGTTTTACCGGAAGAGGGAATTAATGCCATGGCCGAAACCTTGTATTAATTACGTCCTTTCTCACATTACTACATAATATGTTCGCAACACAAATGAGCAATAAAATGTTGTTGACCATGTGTACCCATCGAATTAGAAGTGATATCAGGTGTGTTTAACCCTAATCAATATTTACTGATCCGAGCAGAATAAATAACACCCTTTCATCAATCTAGATACCTTTATTGATGTCCAGTATTATTTAATTGCGTTAATAAATCTAGATTTACAAATGATTTAATCACCGCGGATGATAATCTACAAGTTCTCTTCCAATATATACCTTAAAGGACAATATTGGTGCCAGTCATTATCACATATGTGATAATTCGGCCGTGTATCTGTTATCACTCGTCGCTTCAGTCAGTTATATAGAGCAGCGACTCGTGTTTTCCTTTGGCGTTCGTCACTTCCGATACGGGAAACCTGTATTTCTCAGCTATCGTAGCAATGATCTCTGTGTTAAAAATATATTTGGAATGTGTTTAACCAGCTCTAACACATATGTGATAATGACTGGCACCAAAATTGTCCTTTAATATTTGAGAAATAACACGGTGACCCTTTATGTCAGATTCACTGCACGGCCAAATTGATACACATCAGGAGTGGGACATAATGTCGCACATTTCTTCAACAGATGACGACGAAATCTAAAATTGACAAAAAAAAACCCCCAAAAAAACGCAAATACATAATAATTATATAACATCTCTTTTATTGATTAATAGGTTATTCGGAATACCAGGTTATGCGACAACACAAAGCTGAGGGAAAGAATGGCTGGAGATATCTTATACAACAAGAAGATGCTGATCCCAAGGGTGTTTTTCTGATGGGTTGCAAAGAAGGGAGGGATCCTCTTAAAGATATTGGAACATGTGAACTGAAACTCAATGAAGATGGTACACAGGTGTTAGGAGTAGACCTGGATGGCGACGTCGCTATTAAACTATGAGTTGTCCTTTTTTCATATATCATCAAGATCTGACATTGTTGGCTACGAAAGAAAGGACACGATCTCTTCTCTCTCTCTCTCTCTCAAGACTTGTTTGTTTTCAAAAAGAAGTGTTATTCCGCTTGTTGATTTAGAATAACATTTTTTATTTGTCCATTTTTATCATCGTGTTGTGGATATTTCATTTTTAATTCATATTTATTATTGATATCACCTCTCCCTCCCCAACCCCAAACCCTTAGATCGCTTAAGATTTGTGTACCCTTTTTACAATATCCGAAGCTGTTCCTCGTACTCGTAGGCTAATATTATAGACTGCTTAATTTATCTTGCCGAGTGAATGGTATCCCTTTAAGTTTGTATATCTTTATATATAAAAGTAATTATCGCATGATAGTAAAATTTGCCACGATTTAGAAATTACTTTTTAATTTGTATATATAGAGAATCTCCTACCAGTCTTTTTTGATATCAAAAAATATCAACACAAGTTGATAAAGTAACAAAAAACGGGGCTCTGCCGAGGTTTTCTTTTTACTTTATTAACGAGTGTTGATATTTTTTGATATCAAAAAAGACGAGGAGATTTTATTTATCACCCAATCCCTTCTTACATGCACAAATAGATAAATATAATTCTTTGCTGTAGATTTCACTTTTACTGAACATTACGGCGTAGTGATACATCATTTTTTGACAGCAATTCAACCATTGCAAAGTCCTTTATATTGGCCCAGTGTTTCCATCAGGTCAATTGAATAACAATAGTTCATTTTTTTAAAAAAAAAATTACTTTTAATAAGAAATGAACTGTTCTTTGAAAATAAAAAAAGTAGTTTCTTTTCAATTGACCAATTAAATTCATGTAAAGCGATATATCCTAAGGAGATATCGCAGTAGATTATGAAATATATCACACAAGCGATATCTACTGTAGAATGTATTATTGGGTGATTAACATGTATACACAATAACTAAACCGGCCGAATCGAGATTCGGATTATTACAGTTTATCGGAAATCGGAAAGCTGAATTGTGAAACATAACTGGATTGATATACTGGAATGTTAATTCCCGCCCCCTGTCCCGTACTTACTATTCATGCCCCTTTTCTATACTCTTTATACCTTTTTATCACAATTATACTCAATATATGTAGAGACCTAGATTTAACACGAGATGTAGGTTTCCTACCATTCACACCCAATAGATGTGTGTTATAATAAATCTTTTAAAATAAAATCGTCTTGTGTTTACCACGACATATAAACAACTAGAACCATATGGAGGCCGACCACCAATAGATTTCAAATACTAGTCTTTCTCTCTCACTTTTAGATGGCCATTTTTGTTGATTTTGGTGACGGTGATATGTACTTTGGATATTTAAAATGTCTAAATTTTACTTGTTTTTGATGTGTTACTTCAAGTTTGTGAATTTCAAATTGTCAGTGGTCAATCTCATACAAACTTGGGAGAAAAGACAATGCCAGTTATTGCTCTGTCTGAAGTGAAAAGCATTCAGCCCAACAAGCATTAAAATGTCAATAGGGAAATAAATAGTGGTCTGCATCCGTATTCAGTAAACCATTTACCTCCCTTGATTTAATTATCCGTAAACCAAATGAAGAGCCCCGGGGAAGAACGATCTAAGTCATTTTTTCAACGAACCCCGGTTAATGGCGCCATCTGGTAGCAAATTGTATAAGCTTTCTGTGGTACAATCAATTTCAGGTAAAAACGCTCGGATTCACATCGAACGAAGGCCCTTCTGAAATGGCCTCCCGGACAAATACGTCCATCGTACCCTTTATTTGACCTTAAAGGAGCTAAATCGCTAATATTTGGGATCTAGAAATTGACACAAATGGGTCGCAACACATACAATAATGTAATATGAATGTATATAAATTGATTTACAATCAATCGTTTCTATATTTACTGTAATTTCTAATCAGTTGGGTTCGGCGAAATACGCTAGAAGTCTCAATCGAATGGAAATCTCTAGCGTCTGGTAATTCCAGCCTACGCCGATAGTATTTATTGAGCATGCTCTCCAGATAAGAATATAGCGTCGCCGTGTGGCATGACTTGTGGAATGTGCCTAGCTTCGTTTTTCGAGTCCCTTATTACCATTAGCGTTGAAACACATTATGGTACACGATTCGTGTACCAATTGTAAAATGTTTATTTTGTCTTAAATATTGGATATCAGAAGGCCATCTTTTCCCGGTAAGATCACAACATCAATGTTGATTTAAACCGACAATTAATTCGTGTTTTCAATGTCGAAGATTTTGGATGATATTGCGTTAGAGACTTAGCTACTTTAATTTGGCTGAAAAGTGGAAGTCAGTTGTTGTAATGGTAATTATGATTCGTATTAGACATCATTTTGAAGTTGTAATTAAACCCACTCTTTGTTCTGTTCATGCCAAACATTCTCGTCCAAAAGTGTTTTGCCTTTTATGCGAAAAGTCAAATATATGATTTAGATCGTTCTTCCCTGAACTCTTCAAAATATTAGAATAAAGTGAATGTCACTGGCAAAGTGGATTTCAAAGAAACTGGGATAACCTGAACGTTAAGGTATACATCGGGTAGTGGACAGGGTCGCAAGCAAAATCATTGAATATATAGTTGCACTACCGAATAACCTCACCTAACATTAAATTTCCTTGCACGGAAAAACGGGCGTAACACACTTCTGACGTCTTCAATTATTATGTTTGTTTGAAATTTTGCACCTGGACCATATGGCTGCACCTTATCCACATCAATTTGAAATCAAATGAAATGGTGTTTAACGATCCACGTTTCTGCGCCGATTTGGCTACTGAAGATCTTACGCCATAAAGTGTTTTGATTGAACCCAAATGCACAACTTAAAACTACTAACTTGTCGAACGTCCTTATGAAACGAATAACACCAGGTGTTCCAGAGTGAGCCCCTTGTTGCGTACATGATGGTCATCACCTTCTATATAACTAATTGAAACGATTTATAGGGTTTTGATTACAGACTGGAGCTGGAATTTTCTACACTGTCGTCAATGGGGAGAGAATCATCAGTTCATTTTCAAAGAGGGTGAAGATCACCAATTAGTTTCCCTTATCTTGGTTCCCAATTTGGGGTTCGCCTCCTCATCTGGTTTATAAGAATTATCTTCCATCACAAGGTCATGCACAAAGCTTTATCTGACGACCTACTATGCTAAACGTGTGTCCTGGGCTGGAGGTGGTTTATGATAAATAAATATAGCATGCATTTTATTTTCTTGGAAATTAACACATCTTTTTACATGTACTTTAAATTACTGCACAATCCTATAGCAGAAACATAAGTGGCATTTTGCTCTTAAGAGTAAGTATACAAGGCTTCTAAATTGTCAGCCTTTTTAAAGGCAAACATTCCATGTTATGTACGACCTCCGACGCACATTGGTCTATTCAGAAGGCATATTATTATAGTTAATTATAGTCTAAATAAACACAATACACACATTTATCACTGATAAACATTATTTTTCAGACAACGAAAAACACGCTACCAGCAGTTAAGTTATGAGCAGTTACGAGCTAAACAACTAAGCAAAAATTACAAAAAATAAAAACCTCAGTTCATAATAAAATTGTCGAAGCTACAGTTTCGTAACAAAGGCGAATAACTCTGGAATGACTATTGAAAAAAGTTGAAAATCAACAGGTTCCTTCGTTTTTAGAGATATACAAATCATATCAATTTTAAGAAATTATATAGATTGTTGTAACCTATAGTATATTAAAAATGGAACGTGAAGGATAGATGGGCGGATACTTTCTATTAAGATGGTCGAATCATCATAACAGAGCTAAAATGAGCTAAATCGCTAACATTTGGGACCTAGAAATTGACAAAAGTGGGTCGCAACGCATATAATACTGTAATATGAATGTATATAAACTGATTTACATTCAATGGTTTCCGTTTTTACTCCAATTTCAAATCGGTTATGTTCGGCGAAATAAGCGAGCAGTCTCAAGCGAGTGCAAATTTCTAGCGCCTGGTTAATCCAGTCTACATACGCCGTTTGATTTGGTGCAATGTGTCTAGCCTCGTCCCTCGAGTCTCTTGATACAACTGGGGCTGAAGCGCATTATGGTACACGATTCGTGTACCAATGGTAAAATGTTTATTTTGTCTTAAAAATTGGATATCAAAAGCCCATCTTTTCCGGTAAGATCACAACATGAATGTTGATTTAATTTGACAAATAAATCGTGTTTTCAATGTTGAAGATTTTGGATGATATTGAGTTAGAGACTTAGCTACTTTAAGATGCTAACATGATTTCGTGCAAAGGGTGGTAACAGTGGGCGTTAATATCAAAAATCGTTGAAAATCAATAGGGTTTTTCCTTTCTGTCGGATGAATTTCAGAAATATTAATAGCTGCATTCGATAAGGCGATAACCAGATTTCAAAATAAAGGGGAATAACTCTAGAAGTTATTATCGAAAATGTAAAAGCGAACAGTCTTCTTCGTTTCAATCAGGTAGACAATCAAAATATAGTATATGGATTACTATTGCATCTAACGTATGACAACTAACAAGAAATGTGAACGATAGACCGACGTTCGTAGATTTCATAACAAAGGGGTATATATATCTACGATTCATAATGGCGAAAAATCCATAGACTTCTTCCTTTGAATGGCTTAAACATCCGACCCACATTTTGAAAGGATTGGATCACAAATTGAGGCCTATAATGTGCTAATAAGATTTCGTGGACTCTCGGGAAGTTATTGTCAAAGATCGTTGAAAATCAATTGACTGCCAGACGGTTAGTAGTGTCGGCACATTCGAATGTTGGCAAATTAAAAAATCAATAAATCTGAATGATTATTTTAACGACAAACTCAAGTGCTGCAGGCAGACGCGTTGACTTGCACGCTTCAATCACGTGTATAACAAATCATGTGTAATACGATACTATAAACTTTTTCATGTCAAATACTCCATCTCGTCCAGTAAAGAACATTCTCTGTACTGTGTCAGCATTTAGGGTTTTTAAAATAGGCAATGTCAGTAACATTTTACCAAATCTCGCAGGCTTCTCATGGTGAGCGTGACTCTCGTAATGTGCAAGGGCTAGTTGAGCTTGATCCTGTAACGTTTCTACTTTAGAACTTTCTATGAGCTTCAAAATTTGATCTGAAAATGAAGACATAATATATTATTAGAAAAAACAAGACATGTCCCTTGGGAGAAATAGTTCAAATATGTGGATACTTCAATCAAATTTGGTCAAATTTTGTCTTCGCAAGTCATGATTGGCCATTTTGGAGTTTGCAATATTTGTTCTAATATTTGTTCGCGATAACAAATTGTAGTCAACGTTTTTTTAAGTTACATTCGCTGCTTCCGAACTCGTGGCTGATGGCGTGTTGATCAAGGGGAACTAACTCCACTTACCATTACGTAAAACTATTATAGTTTCCAGAAAAGGCAGCTCATTTGAATCAACCTGTAGTGATTGGCAAGCTGCTATTATCTTCTTGAAATTGGTGATATCTTCATTACCTGAACCCTAAACAAAATTGCTGTAATTAAGCAAGGTCTAACACTAACATAAAAGTAAGCATAATAAAATGCTGAGACTTTATATAGACATGTGACTAACAAATATCCCCGTCGCCCCATGATTTGTAACAGTATAGTAATTTTAAGGCTACCTTTACTTTAAACAGCTCCAGTACTGTTTTACAATCAAAACTAAAATTGCATACAAATTCTACACCCGTGTATCCGTGAAAATCACCAACAAGCTATACAATCTTGTAAGTATATTATATTGTTTAACACCAGCTCAATCATTAATTAAAGGCTCAATACCACTCTTGTTGTAACTGAATAATATGTCCCAATCTTCATTCTGGTCAACAAATTGTACAATTTTACAATATTCCAATTAATTGATGATACAAATTTCATGTTAACACACCTAATTTAAAAAATTGTAAAAATTCAACTAAATGATTTGAAAAGCCTAACGTAAACCTTTTCAAATGTGACTTGGGTTTAAAAATATTTTCGGACCCTCTGGACAAGTAAAATAGGATGTAATGGATAATTTACACAACAGGTAGGACATTTAAACATCTAATACTTAGAATAAGGCTATTATTTATTTTCTGGAGCTGTCAAGCCAGCAAGAGTGGTATTGTCCCTTTAACAATACCATCTGGTGTTCATTTAACATATTTATATTTACCATGTTCTGTAGTAATTGGGAAACATCCATGGGCCAGTAGGCTGTTGAAAAAAGAAAAAGTTCACTCCATTTTCTTTCCACCAGTATCATCTGATCATGAGGATATAGTGATCTAAATATTCGATTGTAATGTAATCTTCTAAATGATGAGACTAATATCTGTTGACAGATGGACAAAGTCATTGCCTTCGTATCATATATTGTTCCTAAAATAAAAACAAGCCAACAGTGAGGCTTATGTCCCCCGCCGATATCCCAAAATAAATAGATGACGCATATTAATTAATCGAACATTCATTTTTTTCAAAGTATCAAGTAATCAAACTGATTATCAACTATACATTAAGTTTCATCACTCTCTATCAGATAGAATCAAAGTTATCTTGTCCTAAAGTATCGACCAATAAAATTGCTTAGCTCAGCGTAGCTCAAAATGTTAATCATTGAACTCAGTCAAGGCATTAACCTAATGAACATATCAAGTTTAAACATTCTACCTCAATTAAAAGCAGACTTGTTACGTTCCAAAGTCTTGACCAATCAAATTGCTTATCGCTCCTTAGATTAAGCAAAAAATTCTCATCATCTAACTTAGTCAAGGTAATGATATAATGAATCTATACTCAAAAGTTTCATCACTCTCACTCATGCCCCAAAGCATCAACCAATCAGATTGCTTAGTTCTGCTTACAGTAAGTAGACAATGTTTATCATCGAACTCGATCAAGGCATTCACCTAATGAATGCCAACACCAAGTTTGAACATTCTACCTCAATTAGAAAGAGAGTTATTGTGTTCCAAAGTCTCGACCAATCAAATTGCTTATCACTCTGCTTACCCTGAACAGAAAATGCCCATTATCGAAGTTAGTCGAGGTATTCATGTGATAAAACCATACACGAAGTGTCTTCATTCTCACTTAATTAGAACTAAAGTTATCGTGCCGCAGAGCATTAACCAATCAAATTGCTTATCTCTGCTTATCCTAAGCAGAAAATGTTCATTATCGAACTTAGTCAAGGTATTGATGTAATGAAACTATACACTACGTTTCATCACTCTGCTTATCCTAATAAACACCTACACCAAGTTTGAACATTCTAGCTCAATTAGAAGGAGAGTTATTGTGTCCCAAAATGTGTGACGGACAGATAGACGGACAGACAGACAAAAGGTGGGGCCAAAAACCGTAACGACATCTAATATACACATGAGGTCTCGATGAGCTCCCGGTGATGGCCGAGAAAGTTCATCGAGATTTTCTGGTGTGGTTACCCCCTTGGTAGTTGTGTATGGTGGATGGCTTTGCACGGAACTGCGTCTAGTCGTTAGGATAGCACAAAAGATTCCCGTTTTCATTAGTCTGACCGGTGCAGAAAAGTAATCTATCTCAATTTCGGTTGGTTGTATAACGTTAAAGGCTCAATACCACTTTTGTTGTAACTGAATAATATGTCCCAATCTTTATTCTGGTAAACAAATTGTACTATTTTAGAATATTTCAATTAATTGATGATACAAATTTCATCTTAACACACCTTATTTAAAAATTTTGAAAAATTCAACATAATGGTTTGAAACGTCTAACGTAAACCTTTTCAAATAAAACTTCGATTTAAAAATATTTTCGAACCCTCTGGACAAGTAAAATAGGATGTAATGGATAATTTATACAACAGGTAGGACACTTAAACATCTAGTACTTAGATAGAGATATTATTTATTTTCTGGAGCTTTCAAGCCAGCAAGAGTGTTATTGTCCCTTTAAAATAGCGAATAGCTCTGTGCAGACAAAAGCACAATCTTTAACTGTCATTGCCGGTAATAGCTTGTGACAATAAATATAATTATTATGAGGAAATTGTTAAAAACGAATTGTTGCTAACACAAACATGTACGCCGTTATATTTCGGGCCTAATAAAAGAATAATGGTGTGCGATGTACAATTCATTATCTAAAAAAATGCCTTGCAAAAATACATAGGCCTATCTAACGTACAACATTTAACGAAAATCACAATTTACCTGTAGGCGATATCGAGGTCGAGGCGCTGGCTCCATCGGACTGAAAAAGAAGCGAGGGAATTGGTGTCACGTGCCAGGTCAAGAACGGATTCCGAGGAATCACTGGTTTAAAGGCGCTGTAGTATGAGCTCCATATTAATCTATGCATCTGATTGGATATATTAGCTTGTGTATCAATGGTTGTTACACTGCTGTTGGTTGGTTGATGGGTTGTTACAGATCCAATCGGTGCTCGTCTGCTGTGCACGTAAACACTCTTTCTGGTACCCTTATTTTTTCTAGGGCCCCTCTCTTCTTGCACAGCTGAAATTATTGGATAATTGTACAATTTAACTACAATACTCATCTTAATTCCATATTATACGTCCGAAAGACTCTTTCGTAGCACAGCAAACTATGCACGTTCCAGCTTCGCGAAGAGAACTAAATGAAATTTGAAATATCGCATACAGTCGAAGCACGGATGCACTGTGAAGCAGCATCGAGTATGGCTGGCACGGGGCCCCTAGATGTTCTCACGTAGTTTGTGGGGCCTTTTTAGTCTTGACTTTAGGTCAGTTTGGATGAATTAAAGATGTTTTAGTAGTGATGTTGTGGGACGGCCTCGACAAGAGGGGTAAGATTGTGTAACGGCCATCAGAAGAATATCTCCTCTGCGTCCAAGGGGCGAAATGATATGAATTGGTGTGGTATGACGAAATTTTTCCCCGTCATCGAATTTCTACTTATAAGGTTTCTGTTAGTGCTTGCGAACGACTAAAAGTTGTTCCTTACGCGATGCTCCACTGTCATGCATGGGGAAACCAAGATGGAAAATCTAGAATTTTTTCGGTCAATACCGGGATCGAACTTCAGACCTACAGGTCATTGAGCCAGTTCCTAACCCACCGCCGTGGTTTCCTCTAGGGAAAAAAAGCCCGAGAAAGTTTGCCGTTAGAGCTCATTTTGCTCCTTAAAAAGTCGGCACATTTCCAAAGTTTGGAGTGATTTTGAACCGTTTTGTATAATTTTGCAGTTTCGAGTGAATTTTCCTCTACAACTTGCTTAAATTCAGATTTCGCGTGGCCCTTTTTAAAGTTTACCAAGAAAGCGACGAATATTTATCATACTATGGTCACTGGACGATAACCATTTATAGAATATATAAAATGGATTAATATAACATCCAAGTAAAATTAAACATGCATTATGCAAGAGCTAAATCTGATTATTGCAAGTCTTAATTTAGGCTTCAGATGTTATAGAAATTATAAATTAGATCTTTATTTAAACAACAAGACCAAAATCAACTCTGTAGACCCACGGATGGCTCGGCTACAGCTCGGATTTAAATAGGATTTTACTAATTGATTAAATCAGATAAGGGGTAACCTGATGAAAATACGTCAGTAAGATCGAGGCTAAATGATAGAGTGTACTTAGCGAGGCCGCTGTAAAGCGTTTCCGTATGCCAGTGAAAACTTTACTTGATAATCGAGATATGTAGGTGGAGTTAACGCCTGTCAATCAAACGTTCGGCGACGGTGAAGACACATTTCGCTACCATTTCTAGGCAAATATTACAACGATGATAACTATGTTCAGAATAAAGTAATTTGACTGAATTTTTCAATATATTCTTCTTTCATTATCTACTTTTGAACTGTTATAGCAAGAATGACCAACTCTCTATAAATATCTCCCATAATGTATCTTTAATATATAAATGAACGCGGGTATAATTATAACCGAATACATTTTCAAATATCTATTATAATACTTTCTTTTCTTCCAAGCATCATGATATGGCTTTTTAGTTTCGAAAGATGAATGTATGAAATAACCCTTCAATCAAGTATTAATTTTCAAAATAAATCATTCTAAAGATATACATACATGCGCTTTGCAATTATTGTTACGAAAACACTCAATCTGATTAAAACACAGATCCAATTTCGTTTCGTTTTTATAGTTCAAAATTTCGATTTTACTAGCTCTTTACTACACTTGGATCTGGAGGCGTTGTTATTTAACTCGTGTTCTGCTTGAAATGAGGGTCAGCCAATCAAATGGTTTGTCGAATCGAGCGTTTGACCTTTTTTGCGCGGAACTGTGGGTAGACATTAGCGGCAATAGAAATCAAAACAAAGCAAAAGTAGATAAAAAAAAATACATGGCGGTCGCTAATTGGTTAATCGAATGACTGACGTAATCGGGTCAAATGTCGCTTGCTTGGTACCTGACGTCATAGAACGTAAACTCCCACTATAACTTGTTAGATCTACATTTAATGTAGGCTATCGAAAGTATAAAAAACGAAACGAAATATAAATCTATATTTTAATTAGATTTGAAAACACTTTAATAATATATAAATAATGATGTGCAGTATCGGAATCAAAATTCGTATGGATTAGAGGTTGAATTCCTGTGGAACAATGCTATTCACTTTACTCTTATGTTGATTACCTTTTTTTATAGATTTAAAGGGACAATAACACTCTTGCTGGCTTGAAAGCTCCAGAAAATAAATAATATCTCTATCTAAGTACTAGATGTTTAAGTGTCCTACCTGTTGTGTAAATTATCCATTACATCCTATTTTACTTGTCCAGGGGGTTCGAAAATATTTTTAAATCGAAGTTTCATTTGAAAAGGTTTACGTTAGACGTTTCAAACCATTATGTTGAATTTTTCAAAATTTTTAAATAAGGTGTGTTAAGATGAAATTTGTATCATCAATTAATTGAAATATTCTAAAATAGTACAATTTGTTTACCAGAATAAAGATTGGGACATATTATTCAGTTACAACAAGAGTGGTATTGAGCCTTTAAAGGAGCTAAATCGCTAATATTTTGGACCTAGAAAATGGCACAAATGAGTCGCAACACATATAATAATGTAATATGAATTTATATAAACTGTTTTACATTCAATCGTGTCCGTTTTACTGTGAAGTGTCATCAGTTATGTTCGGCGAAATACGCCAGAAGTCTCAACCGTAAGTCAGTTTCTGGCATCTGATTATTCCAGTCAACACCGATATTATTTATTGCGCATGCTCTCCAAATAAGAATATATCACCGTTTGACGTGACTTGTGGAATATGTCTAGTCTCATTCTTTGAGCACCTTGTTACAAATGGCGCTGTAACGCATTATGGTACACGATTCGTGTACCAATGTTAAAATATTTATTTTGTCTTAAATATTGGATCAGAAGCCCATCTTTTCCAGGTAAGATCACAACACCAATGCTGATTTAAATTGCAAAAATAAAATCGTGTTTTCAATGTCGAAGATTTTGGATGATATTGAGTTACGGACTTAGCTACATTAAATTAAACTATTTTACATATACGTTATATAAGCCAAATGGATGGACACAGGACATAATTATCATTAATCAGGTTCGCATTAGCGTTATAAAACAAATTTCATCTCGTGTTTATTTCAAGTTGATTAGTTGATTCCTTTTGTTTATACGAATCAGCCCTGTGTTAAATTTTAAAAAAAATTGCAACCAATGTTGAAAACAAATACATTAAAGAATATATCAAAAATATGTACGTTCTTATTCCGAAATAATATTTAACAGATTCATTTAATTAAAATAGTGCGACAAAGTAAGGTATGTATAGTGTTAAATTTGTTAAAAACATATATATATATACTCTTCAAAAAAAAGTAGGGGATGAACCCCTCCCACGTGTATGGCGCTACTCTCAAAGCATGTCAAATGTCCATGTCTATTTATCATATCACAACCTGAATAGGTATTTGCGTTTCAATATCCCCTACTTTTTTTGAATTGAGTATAGTATAGTATGCAAAATATTATTTATTAATTGATGTCAAAAATATACCAAAACTGACTTACCGTTTCTATTCATATTTATTTGAAAGCATTTTTGCAGTCTACAAAAAGGACACCAATTTCGCCGGGCCTTGTCTATTATGCAACTTCCTTTACCTATGAAAAATATAGTATTTTTTTAAATTATATATAGGCCTACCAGCAAACAACTTACAAAATAAGTAATTGCTCTCTCTCTCTTTCTCTCTCTATCTCTCTTTCAGATATAGCTTTTTAAGCATATGTTGCATTAATTAAAAGCTAAATTAAGACAATAGATTTAAAGCAAACTTGTTATCCATTGTTTCTAAGACAAATAACCGGCAGTTTATAGTAATATAATTATAGTTATTTTCAACATTATACATACAACATTTGTGTGAATACTTTATACTTATAATTTAAACCATGACATTACAAATAGCCCATGTGCAAGCCCTTGTTATCTTACTAGAAGGTGAATCTGACTACCTCTTCAGTTAAATAATTTTACAATAAATGTTTAATAAATAGATATTATATTTTAACAGAATACAACACAGAAATATGTCATTGTGCTTACCTATACATGTGTAAGATATTTTTTTCCGAATACTCCTTTTGAAAAAGCAGCTACATCCGTCGCAACAAAACACCCCATAATGTTTTCCATAGCTTTTATCACCGCACACTTCACAAGCAACTGGGACGGGTAAGGTTCGACCTGATATATTAAAACCAAATTATTCAAAATGGAATTCAAAAGAAATAGTAAAATCATCTTTTGGGATAATTGATAATATTTGACGATATAATTTAAGAATTCTAGTTAACATACTAGTTTTGAGAAACCCGAAGAGTTCGTTACTTTTACTTGGTGAAAATAAATCAAATAAAATGTATAATATACATGTAGACGAATTAACCGATCCCCCACCCCTCCTCCTCCACACCACACCACACCACACCAAACCCAATGGTATGCGACTCTTGTTATGAGTTTGTCAGATTCGAATATACCAATATTTGTTGGCGTTTCTTTTTTAAATAAAGAATGACAAAATCTTACCCATGATGGTTGTGGCTGAAGAACTATCCTTAAAGTAATATCCATTATTAAACTTTGATCTTTTATGGAGAATTATTAAATCGAAGCACAGGTGTACAAATATGAGATCTGAAATAACCTCAGTGAGTAGGCTACGTTAGCGATCACCATCTTGCCGTCATCCGTTAAAGAGCGAGTTATCGATCTTAGATGCGCTCTTCAGCTAGTGAAGTCAATAAAACGTATCGTCTATCAAGCTGTATCAGTTTATTTTTGCCCTCTGATTGCATTAAACATGGCTTTTAGCAACGATTGGCAGAGTTTTAAGTGTGCTTGTGTCTTTAAGACGATACAGGTGCTTCGCTTAATCACCTTGATTGAAAACATCCCCAGCAATTTATCGATAAGAGAATAATGTTAAGATTTTTGTTTTTCATGGAAGTTTGACTAACGGGGAGCATTAAAAAAATGTAAAGTGAAATTTCGAATTAAATTCTAAACTCTGTATACAAAAATTTCTGGTGTAATTATTGTTACAAATTCGTATGTGAATTTTGTTTTTAATAATGATATATTATCTACTCCTTAATTATGTAATCATGTTTAGTAGTGTTCTAGAAAGAGTAGACGGCTATATGGGCCATATTACATTGTTAATGACGCTCAAGACCTCAGTTCAGTAATGCTAATGCATCAGTCTTTAATCGACAATATAGTTATCTGCAAATATACACGTAACAATGCACAACAAAGATTTGTTTAGTATGTGAACCCTGAAAGTCTTCGAGAAATGGGTTCTAGAGTCTATTAACTATACTGGGACACCGATTACATTTTTGTGTGTGCGAGACTAGTTTTCTTAAAGCAGAAATAAAGATATGCAAACAATTAAAACCTATTAAGAAGCAGAATGCTAAATATAGACAGTTTAATCACGGTCTTGTTATAAAACTGTTTATTTGTTTGTGTATGTATTTTAATTACATAAAATTGAAAAAAAATATACAGAGAGTTTGTTTAAGAGGTTGGAATTGGACTTAGTTTTTCGTATGCAATCACCGCTTTACAGATTATAGCATTTTCTTTTGATGCTGGAGATGCATTCTTAGTGCATAAACCTTGTAATCGGTTGTATTCACATGAATGGATATATGCGACTTAATCTCGATTGTCAAGTACCGTTGCCACGATACTAAACAATCTACTCTACATCTTGTAAAAACTTCAACACTTAATCTTCACTCGAATAAGGTAATTTGGATGAAATTTTCATTTGCCATTATCTTTTTTGAACTATTAGGCCTAAAAGCAAGAACGACCAGCTCATTATTTAAATTTTGTATAATGCATCTTTAAGGGTCTGTAAAAAAAATTTCACTCCACTAAAGAATTGACCGTTCCCCCGTCCCATGTGGACGTTTTACTGGTTAATGAAGCAGATACCGCTGAGTATCTCGATGTTTGTAAAACTCTCAGAATTAAATCTCGCGCAATATTTTTTTCCCAGCTTTTATTCACTAGTTTTTACAATTCAATACATTATACCACGGGCATCACCCGTAAGGATTATTTCTACAGCTAAACACACACAAGAAATGTTTCATTTTATGTCATTTGGGGACTAACATGGTATATCCTTTTTAATGTCTATAGAAGTAGGCTGAAATCAGAAAATGTTAAGAAAACCAGCCCGACAAGTATTCCAGGTTTTTATTTTTCAGATATATTGCAAAGCAAGTTTTCTTACTAAAAGTGACATATTAAATTAACTATTGTTGATGAATATTAAAATATAAATACGAATACATATGAATACAATAAGCTTGACATTCTGTTAAGTTTATGACAGTAATCGTGCCTGGATTTTAAAAACACACCCACAAAATATGTGTCATTTCTTTTACATCTGAGTACTGTATTCAATGTCTTTAAGAACCTTAGCCGGTTTTTCTCCACACTGAACTGACGTCTCGTTTGATTCCAAACCTCCAGAAATATTATATACGCTAGATTTTCGTCGTTCTCGTATATCTTTTACCACATCGTTTTTGATCAGATCAGCCAAAGCCAAATCTTTAGTTTCCTGTAGCAGTAGTCCACATATACCACTCGATACCATAAGTACGGCCATTATAACGTAAGGTACCATTCTATGACTTCCCTGATAAAACATAATAAGCTTGTTTTAGAAAGTAGGTTTGGAGAAATTTTCAATAATAATTCAGAGCTCTGGGTATGTAAATATTTTAAGACGTTTCCTTGTAATATTTAAGACCGTCCCTTGTAATTCCCGACACGACATGTACATGTACTATTAAAGATGCATAATGTAAGATTTAGAAAAAGATCTGACCTTTGTTGCTATATTATTATAAAAATAGATAATGAAAAATAAATATACATGTATTGAAAATGCAATGTGAATAAATGTCTAAAGAGTAATTTATATAGCATTTGAGGCCAGAAAAAGACCTGCAATAGACGGATTTAGCTCTTATATAATACATCTTTAACAGTGTGATCACTCGTTAATTTGTTTACAACCAAAAAACTGTCGATTGTCCTTTTAAAACAAAATGTCAAAATAATTAAAACCATTTCCGTACTTACCAAACTGAAGATAAAAGGAGCCAGGATTCCACCTATGCGAGCCATGGTGTTACCTGGGCCATAACCCATGAAATATCTATGGGAAAAATCAATGAAAAATTGAATTTTAGTAACGGCAGCCTAAATAAATAAACAAAGCGAGACCCAAATAGACAAGGCGATTCCTTGATAAATTTGAGGTCATTTACCTGTTATCATTTAAAAAAAAAATTCTTGGGACGCTATTTTCCGACCCATTTCCTCAGAAAATGGGAGTTCCCAAAGGAAGAATTTTGTCGCCAACTCTTTTTGCTAAAAAATTTATACTATCCGAGCGTGCAAATGGCGCTCTGTATGTTGATGAATTTCAGAATGTGCTTAAATTTTACAGTCATGCGGATAATCGAACGTAAGTTGCTGTTTTGTTTGAATTCAATTCAACAATGGGCAACTGAAAATGAATTTTGTTTTTCGAAATCCAAGACTGCATGCATTTCTGTCAGAAACGAGGTATACATCCCGATCAGGAGCTTAACTTGGATGGCAATCGCCTTCCGGTCGTGGAAGATACCAAATTTCTGGGTTAATTAGAAATTATTATTTATCCCCCAGATTAAAAACCTAAAAAAGAAATATCCGAAAGCCCTAAATTATTGAGTCTTATCAAATAATGACTGGGGTGCAGATGGTAAGGTCTTTCTTCGAATATATCGAGCTTTAATAAGTTGCATTCAACTTGTGAAGACCCACCGCGCCTTTTTTAATATCACGGTGAATCGTATTGGGTGTATATTATACTTGACTGAACAAATATTACCTGATGACTGTTGGATAAGATTCATTAGTCAGTAGAATTAAAGCCGTCCATGCTGAACCAGTCAATACTCTGGCAAAACGGGAAACTCCAGTAATAAAAAAGAACTCTTGGATTCATCATTAACTACAGTAGACATTAAACAAAATATATTAAAGATAGAAATGTAATATTTGTGATCACACATTAGCTATTTTTCTCCCGGAGTAGAATTATCACACTCAGTTTTCTAGGGAGTTTATGGTCAATATTATTGATGGTAACTATGGTGGCGTGAATATTTTAATTCCTTGAACACAGATATTATTTTAGCCGCCAGTGTGCAGTTTAATTGTACAACGATTAATGGACATGGCCTAAAACTACCAAGCACACGCTAAAAATTATTTACGACAGGCTGAGCGCAGTCAGCGGGGCGATATGAATATCCCAAAATAGAATACAACTATATGTTAAGCTATTCATTTTAATATATAACCAGTCCACAGCTGAGCTGTGTCATTAAGAATTAGTACGTATTGGTTCCCGGCAATTGATTTACAGGCACTCAGTTTAGTGTGTAGCACTTTGTTTTTCAATACCGAAACCTAACTTACGCTTGCCCGAGTTGCACTATCTAGCAAATGTGACTTTATTTGGTAAACAATACACGTTTTGAATCTATCCTTCAACTATATTAATGGACGGTATCATTGTTTTCTATTAAAATGTAACAAACCTTCTTGTGTTATCAATGCAGCAATACAAGATGCTGCAGCTAGGAACAAAGCAAAGGCACAGGTGTACCTTCTTCCTATCCTGAAATATAACCAAAAGATGGGTGCATTTGAATTATCTTTCAATTCTGTTTATATTTAAATTGAGCCTTAAATGAGTACTTCACATGTTTAGTCATATTTGGATTTTAAAAATTCAAACTTACTTTCCTAAAAGGTAGATGACTGGAGCAATGCCCGATATTTCAATGATGTTCATCAGGAAAAAATTTAAGTAAAAATTACCAGAAAAGTTGCTGATTCCAAAGGCAAATCCATAATAAATTGCAGAACAGGACATCCTAAAACACAATGTCGGTAGAATAATATGACAGATGGAAAATCACAAAATTATATTAGAGGCACGCTAATAAAGATCATAGACTTACCAGATGTACTGTATACAAAAACTCTTTTTAAACATTGGAACTCCTCTGTAGATATCTATATATGTATACCTCTTTTCTCCCTGGTTATTCCGACGTTCCATCTCAGCCACCTTTATTAGAATAGCAAGGGTATTATCAGGAACTGTTGTTCCGTTAAATCGAGCAATTTCATCAACAACTACTTTTGCCTCTTCTATTTTGCCTCTTCTATTTTGCCTTTGGTAGCCAACCATCGCAGACTTTCGGGAACTACGCTTTAGAAATAAAATAATGTACAAAACAGATAATTAAAGATTGGCAACTGTTTTCAAATAAAATATATAAATTCAGGAGTCCTTTACAGCTAATGAAATTTTCTGATTTTTACGTTATTATACATGTATATATGATCGCCTTGAAGCGTGATTCACCTGGGACCCAAATTCGATGGCCTAAAACATTCACGGGATCTTGGTTAATTTGATACAACATGTTGGGGTGGATCGAGGCGACGAAGTGTGATGGCGAACACACACACAGACATCTTTGATTTTATTTATATAGAATTGATGGTCATATTTAAAGGACACTATTGATGCCAGTCATTATCACATATGTGATAGAGCTGGTTAAACACATTCCAAATATAATTTTAACACAGAGATCATTGCTACGATTGCTGAGTAATACAGGTTTCCTGAGTCGGAAGTGACGAACGCCAAAGGAAAACACGAGTCATATCTCTATATAACTGACGAGTGATAACGGATATACGGCCGAATTTCTGCTCACTAATAATTCCTTCGAAGACCAAAAGTTGATATATGGGACTGTAAGAGGATACCCGACAATTCAATAAAGTAATTGAATGTCATTAGAAAAGAGAACACGAGAAAAATAGAAATAGTCCGTACATTCCCTTGTTTATATTCATTCTATATCTTATAAAAACATGGTAATGCACGGACTTTTTCTGTTTTTCTTTCGTGTTCACTTATCTAGTGGCAGTCAATTCTTTTTATGAATTGTCAGATATCCTCTCACAATCTCATTCAACAACTTTTGGTCTTCGAATGAATTATTAGTGAGCAGAAATTCGCCCGTATATCCGTTATCACTCGTCACATCAGTCAGTTATATAGAGAGATGACTCGTGTTTTCCTTTGGCGTTCGTCACTTCCAATTCTGGAAAACTGTATTACTCAGCTATCGTAGCAATGATCTCTATGTTAAAATTATATTTGGAATGTGTTTAACCAGCCCTATCACATATGTGATAATGACTGGCACGAATATTGTCCTTTAAAATAGTAAGAAAAAAAAATCGGTGTATATTTTTGATTCAGAAATTATATCAAGACTCTTTTATCCGATAACAATAAGTATCCGCAACCGATATATCTCAATTATCAATTATTCACGTGTAAATGACAAAAACTCGATAACTAAAGATAATATATTAGCACTATATAAAGCTATACTATACTTTTCTTCTAGTCACTCGACTTCACGTTTTAAATTGTGATATACACACAGTGTGCTATTGTTAAAAGCTTAGTGAGGTTAAATACCTTTGATATCGGTCAACATGAAGTGTTGGGGGGGGGGGGGTTGATTAGTGGCGTGACGCTCGACAATGGAACGCAAAATTATTCAGCTATATCGCCATATTGTTTAAATCGGCACATCGCAAAACAAATCGGCACATTAAATTTTATAAAATGATTATTTAAAGGGGCATTAGGCAAGATTAGTTTAAAAAATTGATAATGAAAACAGAAAATGGCTGACCCAGATCATCATTACTAACGTTGGGTCTATAATTAACGGTCTCGATCATCCATTTTTAAGTTAAAATATCCATCGCAAAATGTATTCAAATCCACTAAATATCGCAGGCTAACGATGGTATCGAGAATTGACTATGGCCAGAATCAGTTAATTAATGTCTAATTAATAATTTAGATAACATTTCTTAATTTAATGTTTTAGAGAAAACTGCAGACTCTATAATTAACATAACATTTCTTAATTTAGTGTTTTAGAGAAAACTGCAGGCTCTATAATTAACAGTCTCGATTATCCATTTTTACATTAAATTATACAAAATAAAATGTATTCAAATCCACTAAAGATCGCAGGCTAACGATGGTATCGAGAGTTGATTATAGTCTGGATCAGTTAATTAAATTGTCTAATAATAATTTAGATAACATTTCAGGCAGGATCTTTCTCCATGCACTCTCGTTGGTTTGCTTCTTAGAATCAACGGATTTTGCTATTTGGGATCCTGGGGGAAATGGCGTCCACCTGCGAGAGCTAGTCTTTCGAGCACTGTCAGGTAGTTTGGGCTCAAGAAACCCATAGAGGTGTGGAGATCTTGATCACGTTGGGTCAGAGTTGATCTAACGTAAATCATGCAGTCCGGCAGATCGAAGTAATCGACGAACAATGTCGGCACTGATGAACCCACGATGACCCGTCACAGTAGCTTTATGCTACAGTAAGCTAACATTGCACGATCGACTGCTGGAACCGATTGGATGGTATGCAACCCCTCAGCCCCTTTGAATTAAGTCAATGCTGCGTTCTTGGTGTACAGGTGTTGTGTCTTCCACATAAAATCGGGATTTCAACTTTCCCAGTCTGTCGAATTCATTTTATTGTGTTTGAGAGAATGGATCTGTGGTGCGTATACGCCCTCGTGTAAACATCATTCTCACGTGTTATCGTCATAGTCTGATGTTTTTAAATTCGGAATTGCAAGATGAACGCGTATCTCTCAAACGTGATTTAAATTCATCCATTTATAAAAGAGGTATGTTTTCATTGCTTTTCAACGTATCGCACCTTGTGTATAAAGATCCAAGTGGCTTGTACGCAAGATAGAGGCTACAGTTTTTGACTGGTCTTTTTCAAATTGTAGGCCCAAGATGATTGACTCTACCAGAGTTTTCCGAACATTTTGTGAACGCGTTAAAAGTTAATTGGTTTCTTTCAAATTTGGTGGCAAGGGTTGAGGTCCTTTGCCGAAAACCGTTTGAAAGCGATAGAGGCTACAGTTTTTAACGGAATTTTAAAAAAAAATGGTGAGAAGCATTGTTGCCAATGAACTTTCTGCGACTTTTGTTTTAGGGTTATCCAAACCCCTGGCTTAGCCTAGCCTAAAACCTCGTGAATGAGATAGAGGTTACATTCTTTGACGGATCTTTTTAATTTGGTTTGAAGCATTGCGGTCACCAGAGAACGAGCAATATCATTATTGATAACAATTCAGCATTCGGCGGTCTTCCCAGTAGCGGATCTAGAAGTTGTGAATAGGGTGGTGGGGGCGAAATCTAGGGCGCCACTTACAGTCCCATCCGACAATAAATGTCAATAAAATACGTAATAAAATGCACAAAATAACACTGAGCGCCCCTGTATTGCCTGTATAGTTGTTTGCCGATAGTTATCTCGTCGGATAGCAGTTTTATTCAATTAATGTTGTCATATTATGATTGTTTTTTAGGGTTTCACACTGCGTAGCTTGTGTGAAACACTATTGTTTTTGTTAAAATTATTAGGGTTTCACACTGCGTAGCTTGTGTGAAACACTATTGTTTTTGTTAAAATTATTATTAGGGTTTCACACTGCGTAGCTTGTGTGAAACACTATTGTTTTTGTTAAAATTATTATTAGGGTTTCACACTGCGTAGCTTGTGTGAAACACTATTGTTTTTGTTAAAATTATTATTCTTATTATTATTATTCTTCTTTTGTTTTGAGTAGATCTCAGCAACTGATTGTCGGATCGTTACGATTTCTTCGGTTTTATCGGAAAAGTGGGTGTGACTTAGAGGATAAAGCTATTTTGAACGTTCTGCGACAATGCGAAATGTCCGAAATCACCGAAGCTATCGTTTTTAGAAATATTGCAGTAATTTTAACAATAATCATTGGATTTTAACTTTCGATGCATTTTGGCATAGCCGGAGGCGGGGCACATAGCTACGCTACTTTTGATTTTTGATTTTCGGCAAATCTTCGCAGATATTAGGCGCTAAATTTAGAAAATTTAAATTTTTACAAAAAACTTTTTTATTTATAAATATTTTTTAGTCGTGTTTTACACAAATAAAACGAGTCCTCTGACTTGGGCAAAAATGTGAACATTTTTTGTCTCTGTAATTTTCCTTGGCCCCCATTGGCTAATTCAGTTTTTCAATCCTAGATTAATTATTTATTGTTCGATTTGTATAAAACAAAGTTCATATGCTCCGTTGTCTCAATTGTCATTTTTTTTGTTACCAATAGTGTTATCTGTCGGCACCGGAAGTGGCGTAAATTGACAAAAAACTACAATTTTGACAGTTAGGTACCATTTTTCGAAAGCAAATAAAATTTTTTTCAAATCTGGTATAACTGAAATTGTGCGCCCTTTAAAGGCGCACAAAATGTTGGGACCAGTTTTTTTAATTTCGATTCCGTTTTCGGGCTATTTCGATTAAAAGGTGAAAAAAGGTGTAAAATTAAGCTATTTACAACCCATCCAGCGTTTTCATATTTTAAAATATTACTTCGTAACTTTCATAAACTCGTAGCAATAATCTATACGGAGAGAATGTATGTGAAAATTAATTTGTAATATGCGCAGTTGCCGAGAAATGGGCAATTTTGCATGAGTCACTTTTTACGCTAGTTTGCCTGTAAAAGAGTCAATTATTATTCGATTTTCATAAAAGTGACACCATTTGATGTGTAATATCAATTTTAACTAGGTCAAACCAATTTAACATTTTCAATATCACCGGAAATGACGTAATTTGGGCAAAAATTGTATTTATAGCCTTCGAAACCAGTAATTTATTCAAATGAGTCATATTTGTTATTTGTTTAAAATTTTGATATTTGATTCAAATCAACTAATACAATGAACCCTTACGATCATATAGATATCACAAAATGGTTTCCAACTTGTTCAGTTGCGGAGAAATAGGCAATTTTCAACAGGTCACTTTTTAAGGTTTTTTGTCAATAAAAGTGTCAATTATTATTCGATTTTCATGAAATTTTCACTGTGTGATACATAATGCCATTTACGATTTCATACAAGTAATTTAAGATTTTCATTATCACCGGAAGTAACGTCATTTTGGCAAAAACTGTATTTTTAGCCTTCAAAACAGATATTTTATTCAAATGAATCAGATTTGTAATGTTTTTAAAATTATGATATTTGATTCCAATCAACAAATAGAATGAACTCATTCGATCATACAGATACCTCAAAATGGTTTCTAACTTGTACGGTTGCAGAGAAATAGGCGATTTTCTACAAGTCATTTTTCAAGGTTTTTGGTCTATAAAGGTGGCAATTATTATAGGATTTACATAAAATTTTCACCATGTGATGAAGCTATTTCTGATTTCATAAACCAATTTAACATTTTCTTTATCACCGGAAGTAATGTAATTTTGACAGGATCACTGACATGTAGCAAATGAATTGATTGCTGGATTTGGTTGTTTCTGCGTCCATTT